CCTGCTGACTTGATAAATTGTGTGAAGTGTAGCTGATTCAGAATGAGATTTTGCTTACCATGAGGATTTCTGCTGGATCTTTTTCTCCAGGACATAGAACTCGAGCAGCTTCTAGTTCTCCTGCCCGTCATGTAAATAGAGATCACCGACATGGCTCTGATCTTGATCATTCTGGAGGTGCACCTCGTGGTCGTGAGTTCAGCAGTAGAAGGGAAGCCTCTGGGAGATACAGAGATCATTCACCATCCTATGTCAGAGGTGGAGCTGGTGCCCGTCCTAATGGCAGAGGTTTGGATGGGCCTGAGCCTGGACTCAGACCTTTTAGAAGTGATGGAATGAACAGGAATAATAACCCTAATGTGCGACCAAGAGAAGGCGATTGGTTCTGTCCAGACCCACTGTAAGTCCATGTCTGGTTCTTTGCAACTTTGCCTAGCAGATTGCTTATAGAGGATCTCAGTTTTTGTGTATCACTGTTTGACATGCTATGTATGTAGGTGATACAACTTCTCCTTGTCCCACAATCTTGTGTAGTTTGAAACTGTTTTGTAAATGGCTACAGATGCAGAAACTTGAACTTTGCGAGAAGGGAGTACTGCAACAACTGCAAGAGGCATCGCTATGCACCTCTAGTTAGCCCTCCACCTCCTCCACGTAGGGACTATCCCATCTCAACACCCCCTCCCCGTGGCCTCTCGGGTAATCCCTTGGATCTCTCCCCAGGCTACAGGTCTCCTCCTCGCCGCTGGCCCAGGGATCATCCACCGAGACACGATCATCATCCCGCATGGAGAGACAGAGAGCGAGAACAAGAGAGGGTGCGTTACCCAGATGATGATTACCTTAGCAGAAGGAGGCCACCATTGGATTGGAGCCAGGCTGATCGCGGAAGAGACCTGTTCCTGAAACCTCACCACGAGAGGCGGCCTATGCTCTCTCCTCCTCCACCGCTTCCCCCACCTCGTGGCAGTAGATGGGGTCGCGATGTTAGAGACAGGAGCAGGTCGCCGCCAATGAGAGGCGGTCCGCTACCGCTGCCGAGGGACTACCGCCGTGACAGAGGACGGGACGAGCGGCGTGGCCCTGCAAGAGCCCGGTTTGGAAATGCTTACTAAGACATTTTTGGACTTGGGAGTTGAAACATTGTATTTGAATTTTGTTAAACTGTCGGAAAATTGCCCAGAGAGTTGGCTTTGTACCTTGTAGATGCTATCGAATTTTGCAAAGTTTGGGCTTTTGTTGGAAAAAGCAAAATCTTGGGCACAAAAATTTATGCTTTTGTGTTTTTGCAAGTGTTTGAGATGTCCACGTGTCAAGTTGTGGTTGGTTGTAATCTGTAGTGCCGCTTCCTCAAAGGGTTGTTTTGGAGAGATTTCATATGGTGGGCCGATCGGACGGTGAAAGACCAATTGTACTTAAAGCTTCGACGATGCCACACCGTTGGATCAGTGTTTTCAATATGACCCGTACGATAGGATTTCAACGCAAATCTGACCGTCCAATTTAATTCAGAAATTGAAATTTCAAAACATGTTAAGAGAGAGGGAGGAGAGATGCTCCCGAAGAAGAAGAACAAAACCGAAAGCCCTCCGCTTTTCTTTTCCGCTGTTTCACCAGATATCTTCTTCTTCTTCTTCTTCTTCTTCTTCTCCCTGAGCTAAAACCCAGAAGAACCCTAATTTGTGTGTCTCCTTCGATGCTTTTCCTTTTCCTTGTCGTATCTGCGGATCCGGATTCCTTTTTTAAATTTCTCGTTTGAGCTTATCAGCCGCCGATTCGCTCGTGTTTTTCGAATTTCACCCGGATTCGGTTTGGCTTTGGATCTGGAATTTTTGGTTTTCTACGAGTTGATTTGAAGAATTTTTGGGTATTTTCGGGGTGGGTTTTTCTGGTGATAACAAGAGTGTGAATTTTCGAAAGAAAAAGGAAATTTTTTGGGTATCCTGGAATACTGGAATTTCGAATCTTTAGATGGGTGAGGGCGGTGATGGAAGCGAATTCCCGCCAAAAAAGGAGCAACCGGAAGCGTCTGATTTCCCGGCGAAGAAACCGGCGAGGCAGCTTGACTTCACTGGTGGCGCTGATGCGGTTCTAACGGAACATTCTCAGTCCAAAGCTCCCGCTCCCGCTCCCGCAACGGCGGCGGCGATGAAGACAAGCACGGCACCCGCTGCCTCTTCAACGGCGGCGCGCCCTGCGGCGGCAGGAATCGGGCAGGTTCGGTCGACGATGCCAGCGGTGGCGCCGATGCCGCCTTCGGTAACGCAGGTCCTTCATACCCCAGTCAGGCTTTCGTAAGTCTTCTGTTGCCTATGGCCGTTGGTTTTTACTGGTTAAGCTTGTTTAATCTCGATCATTCACCTCTTGCTTCTTCTGTTTGTTCAATCTGGAAAACCGTTGGATTTGATCAGAAAGATTTGAAATTTTTTCGTGTAGAATGGCCAATTCTAGGGATGTGGTATCGATTCTCTGAATAGTGTGTGTTTCTCCTTTGAACATTCTCATTGTCGGTATGGCCCTAAGCTGAAGACTGTTAGTGTTTCTTTTCATCCTATGAACGGGAGGATTTGCTTTCTTTACTGGGTGGTTCAGTTCTTGATCAGATTCTGTGTGTCTAAACGTGGTTATCTCAGATTTACTTGATGTATGTGTTCGAATTCAAATCCATTGGTGAAGTAGTTAAAAGGTTTCTGTCCAAAGTCGAATCCTTTTTGAAACTTACAGTCAATCAAATGCATACTTCATTACTATGCTATTATTGGCAAGGTTTTTAGTTTTCAGGTTGTTGGTGTATTCATGATGATCCTATCATTTAACAGTTCTATCTTCTCTTTTGTCTCCTTTACCCAGGAAGCCAGAATCTCCCAAATCTAGGGCAAGGCCTGCTGTGGATGCTAGAGATGGAACCCCTCAGAAGAAAAAGCAGTGTAACTGCAAGCACTCACGATGCTTGAAACTGTATGTCTGCTTTTCTTGTCTTGGGCCTCAAATGATATCCTCACTGATTGATCACTAACAGTTGCGTGAAGATGAATTCCGAGCATGTTTGTGTTTACATTCTCGGGTCTTGGATTAATCAGGCTGGAGTTGGTCAACTGTAATTTGTGTTTTTATGGTTTTTTTTCCTTTTCTGCAGCCATCAGAGAAAAAAAATCCTCAAATCTGGATTTTGTTGTGTGCATCTGGATAGAATTAGCTAATTGAACCATATAATTCTTTCGTTAATCAATTTAGATAGTTGTTTTACGCTGCGTGTTTCATTTTTTTGTGGTTTTGGTTTAGGATTCATCTTGTCTGCAAGCATAAAAAAACTTACACATGTCTTGATCAGGTATTGTGAATGCTTTGCATCCGGCACATATTGTGATGGATGTAATTGTGCAAATTGCTTTAACAACGTTGAAAATGAAGCTGCCAGGCGAGAAGCTGTGGAAGCAACTCTGGAGCGGAATCCTACTGCATTTAGACCTAAAATTGCTAGCAGTCCTCACAGTGCACGGGATAGTGGGGTATGTGGTTCATCAATTTTAATTGTCTTACTGATGAAAGAAGGTTAACTTGTTTACATTTATTGCAGGAAGAGATCGGTGAAGTTCTTATGTTAGGGAAGCACAACAAAGGATGCCACTGCAAGAAATCGGGTTGCCTTAAGAAGTATTGTGAATGCTTTCAGGCTAATATTCTGTGTTCTGAGAACTGCAAATGCTTGGATTGCAAAAACTATGAAGGAAGTGAAGAGAGACAGGCTCTCTTTCACGGTGAACATGCCAACAACGTGGCTTATCTCCAACAGGCAGCAAATGCTGCCATAACTGGAGCTGTCGGTTCCTCTGGCTTTGCATCCTCTCCAGGACCTAAAAGGAGGAAATCTCAGGAAATTATCTTTAACCAAGCAACGAAGGATTCATCTATTCATAGGTTCAGCCATTTTCAACAGGTAATGCTGTTTGCTGAAAAATGTATTTTGTGTGATATGCAAAGAAGTTGGCCATCTCTCGCCCATCTCTCCAATGCGACTAAATTCTTGACCTGGCTTAGTGAAATGAGATCTTATTTAACTTTCCTTGGTTATACATTTGTTGCTATCAGGCAAATAGCGGAAGAGCAACTGGGCCAACGTCATGTACATCCACAGTTCCTATTTCCCGTGCTTCTGGCAATGCATCATCAGTTCCATCCAAATTTGTATACAGGTGAATTTATTGTGGTTACAAAGTTTTAACTGACCCAAGAGTTGCAGAAACTAATATCCTGGTTTGTTTTTGAAGGTCTCTCTTGGCAGACATCATTCAACCACAGGATGTGAAAGCACTTTGCTCTGTTTTGGTCGCCGTAGCTGGAGAAGCGGCAAAGACATTGGCAGGTGAACATGTGATGACTGTATAATATATATTTTGAGGTTTAGCATCTCTAGTTTGTTCTTACAGTATGCGAGATTTTATAGTCTTTGATCTTCCTTTAAAATTCTGTTTTCTCAGACCAGAGAAATGAAACAGAAAAACGGATGGAAGATCAGCCAGAAACTTCCTTAGCCTCTTCTGCTGCACAAAATGGAGGACAAGGCAATAAAGGTGTCAAGGTTGAGAAAGTCGAAACTGGTGATGGTTCAAGTGGAAGTCAAGTTGATAAAGCCAGGGGAGAAGATTCCAATTCTGATGGCACCAACGCTTCTAAAGGAAGACCTCTGTCTCCTGCAACTTTGGCATTGATGTGCGACGAACAGGACACTATGTTCATGGTAACAGCATCACCTAATGTTTCAGTGGACCCTGGCAGTCACAGGACAACCTCACAGCTACCTAACGGACAAGGCCTGTCAGAAATTTACGCAGAGCAGGAGAGAATAGTTTTGACCAAGTTCCGGGACTGCCTTAATCGACTTATCTCCTATGGAGAACTAAAGGGTACACATCTATTTATGTAAACACCATTTACCTAGAAACAAAATACTGAATCTGAATCTGCCCGAAACAGTATGTTCTTAATCTAAAGCTGGGTTCGGTTGTTGCAGAATCAAACTGTTCATCTTTGGCAAGAACGCATCTAGACTCGCCTGCAGCTGTGAAAACTGAAGCTGGGATTCATCAGGGTCCAATCCCGAATGGAGTTTCTCGAACCACTACCCAATCTACAGCCAAATCAACATCGACGCAACTGACTGCAGCATCCATACCAAACCCCTCAAACACTCATCTTCATAAACCTCCAGTTTTGTCAGAGAAGAAAGACCTTTGAACTGAGTATTTACTACAATAACATACTAAAGACAACAGTGCAGCAAAAACCCTGTCTGAGTCTGACCAGTTCAGCTTGTTATTATAAGGTATGCCTCCACATTCCTGTAACACTACACTCTCTTCTTCTGATCTAAAGCTTTCTGGACGATAAGCGATAATGGCGGGCTAAGCACATCGGACTGGTGATTAGTGATGATGGAGGATTAACTTAAAGCTTCTTCTCACACAGTCTCTGTTGAGTTCTTGATCTTCTTTGGTTCTTCTGGTTCAGAGTTTGGTCTTGAGCTCGTTGTCTTTTGCGGCGGCTGGTGTAGATTTAGAGAGGTGTGACATAATTAGTCTTTCCTTTTCTTTTTCACGAGATAAGTATTGTTACTCTGTACATTGTTACTTGCCATTTGCAATTGGCAACCACAGTTGTGTTTTTCTTTTTTGGACTTAGGACATGCTTTAGTCTTTGATGTAGAAATATTCCCAAATAAGTCTTCCATAGTTTTGGGGGCAGATCCTTTGGTCAAATGTGAGTCATAACAATTTATTTTATAAAAAGTTTAAAAACATGTTTTCATCTCTCTTTCTTGTGGTTGTAAACTAAAGTTTCCTAGTAATTTCCCCTTTGAAAATTATAGCAAAATTCATTAATTATGAATATAATATTACATATATATATACATTTTTTTATCACATAACATATTAACATACTATCCAAAACATAAAAAAATATAAAAAAATTCAAATTAATATACCAACTTTAGAATTTCTAAATAGGAAAAAAACCCTAAAAATTCCTAAACTTGTAATTTGGAGTAATATTAATTCTTAAACTTGTAGAGGTGTCCATTAATTCTCAAACTTGCAAAATTGAATACATTAAATCTTGAACTTGTTAAACGGTCCCATAATCGTACATAGCATTATTTGGTCAAAAAAATGAATTGACCGATCTGACACGTGATGTGGCGGTAATTTTTTGAGTTGGCTCGCCAGGTCACGTGACAATTATGGAACCGTTTAACAAGTTCAGGATTTAACGTATTCAATTTTGCAAGTTTGAGAATTAATAGACATCTCTACAAGTTTAGGAATTAATATTACTCCAAATTACAAGTTAAATAATTTTTAGGGTTTTTTTTCTTTCAAATAATATTATTTATTCCTACGAAAAACTATTAAGTTTCAAAAAATCTCATATAACTTTATTAGGTTACGCCACATTAAATCCAGATTCTATCAAATATTTAATTTCGTCTAATATTGTGGGATTATATGATTTTTTTTAAGTTTAAGATTTTTTCGTAAATACGAATTCATGTATTATTTTGATAATTTTAAAACTGGTGTATTAATTTTTATACAAGTTTACATATTTTTATGCGATTCTCTCTCTATATAACTAAAATCCATGTATATATGTCTAAAATCCATCTAACTTTCACCTTTGATTTTTTTGTGGCTATATATACACAAGTGAAATTCTTGATATTAATGAGGTAAAAAACATTCGAAACTCGACCGTTTCTATATATATAAAAAAAAGTGTTTAAGGTTTAATATTGGATTTGAATCAAAATCATGCGCATTCAGATTCCAAATTCCAGATCACCATTACAAGACATTATCGTTACATAATATTGTTTGTATTTAAAACAAAAGTCGTGAGAGACAAAAAAAAATGGAATCAGTCTACTTTCAGGAGCATCTCTAGCTCTTGCAGGGCCTGAATATATATATATATATATATATATATATATATATATAAAATGATTTTTGTACGTACTCGAGGTTAGGATCCAAGCGCAAGAACGCAAGGAGGAAGCATTTGATAGAAGGCATTTGCTTTTCTTTTCTTTTTTTAACTCAAAAAAGTTACGTGGGTATATTTTTTTTTCTTGAAGAAATTTGACACTGAATAACTGGAAGAAAGTGTAGGACTGTATAGCAGTGTGACTTTTAACAGGCTGATTGGCTTGTATAATACCAGAATGCAAACGTGTGTATATATATATATATACATATATTAACATTTTATTAAAACTTTCCGAACACAGACAATATCTTGAAATCAATGGTTAAACATTCGAGTTTCACCCTAAGAGATCCCATGTCTGTTTTCGAGTAGAACTTCAAAAATGAGGAAGACGGCTCCAAAACATAAAGTATATACTATTTTTTCTTTTCATGAAATATAAAGTATAATTAGACAGACGGGAGACATATTAAATAGGGATACGAAAAGTCCCAACGAACAGCCATAATAAAAAAGACTATAAAAATCTTTTCTCTCTCGTTCTCCGAGCTGTCAAATAGCATTGCGTTTTTACCGTCTCCCCCAAGCCACATGCAACGTCTGCGTCGTCTTACTTAATGCACCTGCTACGTATACGTTCATACATATATACATATATACATATATACATATATACGCGCTTTGGTTATCATATAATGTTTAGCCCCAATCATTGGTTAAAGTAAGCTTTGCACTGGCTTCAGGGGAGGGTTAAATAACAGTTGCTAGAGGTAATTTGGTTGGTTATAAGGTAATTTCAAGGAAGAAAATATGGAAAATAATATAAAAACTGATCCATTGTTAAGTAAAAAATTATGTTAAATTCGTAAATTTGATATTAGGTATTGTGATTTGTATGTAGCTAGGAAATCAGATAATTTCATATATTAGAGCTATACGTGGAAAGGTAATGGCTGCGAAGTTGATGATAACGTTACAGGTTTACGGGATAATAATACAGTAAACAGTATATTTTAATTAGGGTTTTAATCTATGTAAACCCCATCAAAATCTCTCTTAAGAAATCAATGGAAAAAGACCTTATAATAACATATTTCATATATATATACACACACACACCAAACTTTTCTCTCAACCAATCCATGATCATATGAACTTTGGATATTTGTCTAATACTGTCGGACAATTCGAACGATGAATCGCATGTTCCATGAAACACTAAATCGAACTCATCCGTGTTTCAAATATCGACGTATTAGCCATTGGGATTTCCATGCAATTAATGGTCATGAATACATATTGTACATGTCGCTCCACCACATGCATAGAGGATCGTTCCGAATTTAAATACAAATCTAGAGATAATGAAATGGTCCGAACATTCAATTCCCTTCATCTCCCAAACACAACAGCTGTTCCTCTGAAGAAACCCTAAAACTTCGCCTATATAAACCACGTCAAGATCCAACACCTCCATACACAATATTTCACTTCAAATACACACACATATATATATACACACACGCGCAGCTCGACACATGGCAAGGTGGTTCGCCGTGTTCCTAGTCGCTCTCGCGGTGGTTCAAGCCGCCGCTGCCGCAAGACCAACGCCCAAGAACGCCGGCCTTGACGACCAGAAGAACTTCGTCGCCTTCGGAGGCGTAGGAGGAGTAGCCGGATCTGGAATCGGCGGCGTTGCTGGCGTTGTGCCTATTGGAGGCGGAGTTGAAGGCGCCGGTGGGGTCGTGCCCATCGGCGGACTCGGTGGCCTCGGTGGTGGTTCGGGCATCGGCGGTTTGGGTGGAATAGGCGGCGGTTGCGGCGGCTGTAGCGGCGGCGTTCTGCCGTAATAGCCGTACTGTGAAAGAGCTTATGTATTTGTTTTCATAATTAATGTGTCCACTATACGTACGTACGTATTCGTTAGTTTCTCTTTGTATTGCATGCCTTTGCATATTAATTAAATATAATGTCTCTTTGTGTTGCTTTTGTGTTAATTACTCGTGAGTTCGACCTATATATCAATATAAAAGGACTGTGTTCTAATCCGTACAATTAATTTGGTTCTATTTCAAGTAATCCATATTAACGATTTTTGTGACGTACATACATAAAAATGTCAGCTCGTAGGAAATACGGTTGCACCAATACTCCAACGGGAAAAAAAAAAGAGATGTACGTATGTATTTTATCTTTCATTGAATTGGCATACATGGCATAAAACAGCAAGAATTTTATGTATTTATATGGGTGTATATATACATATATATATATATCGTTTTACATCGAAAGATTCCATTTGGTGGTCATTAACAGCAACAACACAAAACATATAATTTTTTTTACACATATTGCGAAATCTATATCAAGTTATATTTTTCCATGGTGGGCTAAATGATTTAAATTCTTCGAAGAAGTTGGGAGCCTTTTTCACTCGTTGTTATCCAAAAATTTCAAATATCCTACCAATGGGCAATGTACAAAATAAACACAAAACCAAAATAAATCTACACTAATAGTAATTATTTTCTTAATATTCACACACACACACACACACACATAATGGACCTAAACTATATTACACATATACATGTACGTGCTCTAAACATTTTTTATTGCTAATATATATATATATATATATATATATATATGCTATTTTTTCTCCAATGAATCTGGGCTACTTTGAATAGAAAGTCTTGGTGTATCAGAGTGTTTGGTTTTGGCATTTACAATTGCATTAACTATTCAAACCGGTCACTATGTACACATCTCTTGTCCTTTAAAAGGACGTCTCCAGGTTCTCCACAACACAAACACTCTCAAGTTCTTTCCGAAGATTATTACACTTTGAACAATAACTAAAATCGATGGCGAAGTTGCTCATCACTGTCCTCTTGGCTCTGGCCCTAGTCTCCGCTCTCTCTTGCAGCGCAAGAAACGTTCCCGGCGGCTTCTCTGACCAGAAAAACTTCGTGAGCTTCGGTGGCATCGGTGGTGCTTCCGGCATCGGATCCAACGGTTTACCGTTTGGTGGAGTCGGAGGTATCGGAGGCATCACCGGACCTGGTGGGCTCGGCGGCGGACTCGGCGGACCTAGTGGGCTTGGTGGGCTCGGTGGGGTCGGTGGCTGTTGCGGAACCGGTGGTGGTGTGGGCGGTGGAGCCGGTGGAGGGAGTGGAACACTTCCTCTCCCTTGAGGGTTATATTAGGGTTAGGGTTTCCGTTACAATACTTTGAGATCCTGCTTTGGTATAATAAGATTTTAGGGTTTGTGCGAGTGTGTCTAAACTTTCGTGTCTTGGATTCGTGTGCTTTTATTTCCATGTCTTGTTTCGGATGCTGTCGGTTACGTTTTCGTTCTAGTATGTCTATTTCGAGTGTTCACTTGTTTGATTTTTCTGTTCCAACACATGATGCAATATGTATGAGATTTTAGTATGACATTGGTAATTCACGGTCCAATACACACACACACACACACATATATATATATATATATATATGTGTGTGTGTGTGTATTTATATATATGCAAAATACATAAAAACAAACAAGTAAAAGTTTGAAGTTATTAGAGATTCCTCTGCATGCAGTTGAACGTATGGCATGCACATAAAGTTACAGAAGCATGAGATATATTATTGAATATATTTCAAACGAATATTTTTGTCTTTAATATGATCCAAACAACTGCCCATTAGAATAAACTGCAGCAGTGACATTCATTAAAAAAAAAAAATGCCTTGCCACAAAATTCGGACAAATTTCCGATGGGAATTGAAGAGAAAAATATATATTTATTTCGCATTCTATTATAAATTTTATGATCGGAAACAAGATTTAAAAATTGGAAATCAGTTTTACAAGTAATTGTGATTTCAAATGTATTTTTCTAATGAAATTTTAAAATGTGAGAGAAAATAATTAAAATTTCTTGAGTAAATTAATGGGCGTATGAGAAGTTAAAACAAGTGCGCTCCAAGTTACAAGGAACCCTAACAAACAGCCACAACTTGAGAACACAAATACATTTGCTTTGAGATGGCGTTTGAGTTAGGTTTTGTACATTTATTTCTGTTTTTTTTTTTGTCGGATTGTGGTTTTAATGAGTTAGTTGTCTATAAATTTTTTCCCAGGCGAAATTTACTTCATAACCCGTACTATTTTTCTAATTTTATAACTACCATATTATTTTTGTCATAAGCATTTGAAAAAAAAGACCACACTAGTACTTCTAATCAAATTTATAATTCGATAATTTTTCCAATCTACATTATATATATATACACATGCATATATATATATATATATATATATCAGGCATAATGCGTGAATATTATTGTTTCGATATATACAACTAAGTTAATTATTCTGGACTTCGGACGTTTTCCCGTCAACAAAAAAAATTAATTATTCCAATAAATAAATTTCTCCCATGCCTCTATGTAAGAGAGCGGAGAGAAGTAATTGTATAAATCAACTAAAAAACAATACTATTTTTACTTTTTATCAAAGACATAGAACTCTTTATAAAATGATGAATTGTAAGCTCTTTTATATATTTTTAGGTTTACTCATACCGATACATGCGAACCGGTTTACAAACGCTCAAACCGGGCCTAGGGTTAAGTATTGGATCCATATCAAGAACAATGTACCAAACGGCGACGTTCTTCAGGTACGACCGATCATTTGTTCGGACTAATCAACCAGTTTACCGGAATCTAATCGATACATTGGTTTAGTTTCCATTCTTGAACGGATCGATCGAGCCAATAAATTAATTAATGATTTCAAAATTCGTTTATAAAATGTATTATTTCAATTGGAGAATTTCAATCCCTTATAAAATGAAAGGTATCGAATGAATGCGTGTGGTGAGAAGGTGCAATGTTGGTCATGGAATAGAAAGCTGGGGAAGAGGCTGGTGGAGGGAGGAGAAGAATACGTGTTTTGGACGACGCAGTACACGAAGGAGATAAGCTGCCGTTTGACATGGGCCGACCACCACGATCTTGTCCGCTCCATCTTCTGGAACACCAACGAGTTCCTCCCCCTCTGCGTTAATCTCCACTGCTTCTGGTCCATACAATGATGTGTGTGTGTGTATATATGCGCTATCACAATGCATAATATTATCACTTTGATGTACACATATATGATATATATGTATCATGTATAATGTAAAACGTACTATATATACACCTTGTTTAATCGTCTGTGGTTGTACAGGGAAAATTCCATATGAATTGGTAAATAACACGGTGGAGTTCGACTCGTTTCCCTATCAAATGGGTTCCCACGATATAAAAAAAAATATGTGGTTATATGCAAATCGATTTTCCATTGTATGTATATATATATATAATTACATATTTTGGGATCCGAATTCTATTATAGATTTGAACATAGTTAGATATTTTTTCTAGATTTTATTGTAACCGGTCGATTTGGAGATAGTTAATATATATATATATATTCCAATTATATACTCTCCAAAGAATATTAGGTCAACCTATGAATGGGCTTTAGGCCCATTAGCCCATCACGGACTAAGATTTGTTTATTTGTATAAATAATGACAAGCCGGAACGTATCTGTGCTTTCTTTTCCAATCTTGCAAGAGGAGGAACACACAAAAACACTAGAAGAATCAAACCAGAGAGAGAGAGGAAACCAAACAATCATGGGTCAGGGACCGTCGAGCGGTTTGAATCGGCAAGGAGATCGGAAACCCAATAGTGGAGACAAGAAGGAGAAGAAGTTCGAGCCCGCGGCGCCACCGGCGCGCGTGGGGAGGAAGCAGCGGAAGCAGAAGGGACCGGAGGCGGCGGCGCGACTGCCGACGGTTACTCCGTCGGCGAAGTGTAAGCTCCGGTTGCTGAAGCTTGAACGGATCAAGGACTATCTGTTGATGGAGGAGGAGTTCGTCGCGAACCAGGAGAGGTTGAAGCCTCAGGAGGAGAAAGCTGAAGAAGATAGATCTAAGGTCGACGATCTCCGTGGGACGCCGATGAGCGTCGGGAATCTCGAGGAGTTGATCGATGAGAATCACGCGATTGTTTCCTCGTCGGTTGGTCCTGAGTACTACGTCGGGATTTTGTCGTTTGTCGATAAGGATCAGCTCGAGCCTGGTTGTGCGATCCTGATGCACAATAAGGTATGCCCATTACGGTATCTCCGGAGGTTGAACTAAATCTGTTTTTTTGAGTGGTTGGTGGATTCAGGTTTTCATGTCGGTATGGTTAGGGTTTATCTTCATGTTTGTCTTGTCAATAATTTCGGGTGAAAAAGATGGTAATGCCCTTTTCTCGATCGAGTATGTGCGTGATTTGGAAACAGAGAATTCGGTGCTTGCTGGATAGAAAGATAGAGTAACATGCCATCGATTTTGCTCCTTGTTCTGCGTGTTTCTTCTTCACCCAGTTACGCTTTTCTTCAACGGGGTTACGGGGCAGTAGCTTTGTGCACTGAGAAGCCATTGACTATGCTGCATGTTTGTTTTCTATGAAGGTGCTCTCTGTAGTTGGGATTCTGCAAGATGAAGTGGACCCAATGGTGTCGGTGATGAAAGTTGAGAAAGCTCCTTTAGAGTCGTATGCAGACATTGGAGGATTAGAAGCTCAGATTCAGGAGATCAAAGAAGCTGTTGAACTCCCTTTAACTCACCCTGAGCTGTATGAAGACATCGGTATTAAACCTCCCAAGGGTGTGATCTTGTACGGTGAGCCAGGCACTGGGAAGACATTGCTCGCCAAGGTTACAAAGTTCCCTTTTTTCGACAAACCAATCTTTAATATTATCAAATGATATCTGCCTTTTTTGCTATGAGTGCGGAAATTCCATTTTCGACTAAGATTATTTGCCGTTAACTTATCATCTGATTTGGATTTGTGACCTGAAGGGCTGATATCTTTTCGTGTCCTTGTTGTACTTGAATTGTCGTTTGCTGAGTATAAGGTAGTTCTTCTCCAGTGTCTATTAGCTGAAAACATCCAGCGAGGTTATGCATTGTATGGGCGATTTTTCTGCTTTGTTGCTGGTTGCAATTTTTTGAAAAGAGGTCTCAGTTCTTCGGTTTTATACTTTCAGGCAGTGGCGAATTCTACATCAGCGACTTTCTTACGTGTTGTGGGTAGTGAGCTGATCCAGAAATACCTGGGAGATGGACCCAAGCTTGTGAGGGAGCTTTTCAGGGTTGCTGATGACCTGTCACCTTCAATTGTCTTCATAGACGAGATCGATGCTGTTGGAACCAAGCGGTATAATGTCTAGTTCTCCCAAATGTGGGCTGATCTCATAGGTAGTTGGAATCTAATCGAACCATGCTTGAAAAACAGGTACGATGCTCACTCAGGAGGTGAACGCGAAATCCAAAGAACCATGTTGGAGCTGCTAAACCAGCTTGATGGGTTTGATTCGAGAGGGGATGTTAAGGTCATCCTTGCGACGAACAGGATCGAAAGCCTGGACCCGGCATTGCTTCGACCTGGACGTATTGACAGGAAGATCGAGTTTCCTCTTCCAGATATCAAAACAAGAAGACGTATCTTCCAGGTACAAACCAGTGAGAGGGAAAACTCGGATTCTAATGGAAGATTCTAAAGATGATCATCTTATTGAGGTTTTGTTTATGTTACATATATAGATACACACATCGAAGATGACACTGGCAGAGGATGTGAACCTGGAAGAGTTTGTGATGACAAAGGACGAGTTCTCGGGAGCTGATATAAAGGCGATATGCACAGAGGCCGGTCTGCTTGCGTTGAGAGAGCGTCGTATGAAGGTAAGTAAATATCACTCGAGCAGTTACCCGACCGTTGATTTCAAAGTTTACAACTTTTGGGTTTGGTGAATGATGAAAAAACGAAACAGGTTACGCATGGGGACTTCAAGAAGGCAAAGGAGAAGGTTATGTTCAAGAAGAAAGAAGGTGTGCCCGAAGGCCTTTACATGTAATAACCCCTTCAACCAGGAAGGAAAACCTCGTCAATCAATGTCTGTCTTCTTCCTCTCCTCTGTCTCGCTATGAATTGTTGCTCCTTTATACGTTTTGTTCATCTAAACAAATAATATATGCCCTTAGTTATTGTTAGGATCCTACTCTTAAATGCCGATTGCACCTCTCTTTATTTAGTCCTCTCTCTCTCTCTCCCTCTCTCTCTCTCTCTCTCTCTCTCTCTCTCTCTATATATATATCTATATATATATATATATATATGCTGGCATCAGATACTTCTTTTTTCCACTAAAAAAAGAGTGGAGTTTTTGTGTTTTTCAGTTCATAACTAGTTTGTATGCAGATGTGAAATTCGACCAAAATGAGAAATTAAAAGAAAAAAGATACGTATTCATTCACCAAAAAAAAGTTTCATCTTTTCTTCTACAAAAATTGGGGATTCAACATTATGGTAACAACAGTCCAAAAACGTATGAAGATTGGGAACCTAGAAGATATTCAAACAATCAATCTAAACCCAAATATTGAGAGGCTTGTCATTCAAAAGTTTACGGTTACAATATATATATATATGGGATATCTAGATGATCCGATCGATTGCGTATGATAATTGCTTAATAAAATCTAAATGAAACAAGATATCATGGGTAATCTTCTAAAACAAATAATCTCCCCTTTATCAATTACAGCTGTTTATGTATTCAGCAGATTTGAATCTTGTTCGGTTTTAGCTCGCTTCAAGACAGAGAAACATAGTTTTTTGGTACGAGGATCACAAAACAGACCGATCTCATCTCCGGCGGAAAGGGATCTCCTCTCCACGAAATTGTACTTCCACAAACCTTGGAGGAAATATCCACCCTTATGTTTCGGGTGAGGTTTATAGTATCTGAAACTGGACTCGTGCTCACTTCCCGTGTCCAAATCGTCGACCGTTATCCTAATGTCGTCTATTTCGGCTCTTTTGACAATCATTTCGCTCCAGTTATTCAGAATAAAATTCTTCACGTCGGAATCTTGTAATCTCACGCATTGCCCTTTCGTGCTAAGCTCCTCGCGAGTTAGGGTTTTCTTGATCTTCCATGGGCTTGAATCTTCTTCTTCTTCCACTCGAATCTTTTTCAATGGCGCCCATCCACCTCTCTTCTCCATCTCTTCTTCTTCCTTTGATTTTATTTTTATTTTTATTTTTAATTTCGAGAATCCGATTACAGTGTGTTTCGTCCGTTTTATATGTGTTGAAAGACTTTGGCATGAGCCTCTAATAACTTCGTGAAATTAATCAAGAGTTTTCGTATCCATGCTTTTATCTCTTTCATTAACACGAGTCCATACGCATTGATAAATAATTGATGACGCATTTTTCTTTTAATTGTTTGCGTATTATATGCATAATTGGAAAAACAAATGGATATGTTACAGTGTGTTATATTGAGAATATCAATGAATGTGTGTGTGTGTGTATATATAGCAAGAGCAAGTTGTATCGATGGACCGACATGTAAGCTTTTGAAACATATCACATGATGGACATATTACATTTACAGAATAATTTGACGAGACATCTTGAATAAAGAGGATCGTCAAAGATTTTATTTCCTTTCTTTAACAAAAAATTAAAAAAAAAAAAACAGGATTTTTAATAATGTCCGAAAGATATTGACTTTCCTATGAGTTTATATATATATATATAGTAGGTTTTCATGTTGAATGAATTAATTAGAAGATGAACTTTGAAATTGTAATATAAAAGACTTACAAAACGGTCTTGTATATAACCATAGTCAGGTATGAATGTATATAATCTTTTTTTTTTCAATCTAAAAGTATTTTTATGATGCATTTTATTGGACCGAATCCGACCACAATATATACGTTCCAAAATAAGCTTATATATCTTATACTCAAAGTAAATTTAGAAACAAGAATTTCTAATGATAGGAGCTTAGCTTAGACAGTACTTGAGGTTGTCATTTTCTGTCGTCTAAATTCACATGTACACTTATCTCCTTTCATTTTCCATTATAGAATAATCATTCGTTCCATCCATAAATATTCCAGATTAATCCAAATTTGGATAACTCAACCGATAAAATAAGAGTGAAACCATGGACAGATCCACAAGTATGGGAGTGAGATCCCATGCCCTCATATATTTATAAAAAAAAATCAATTTACTTATAATTGTTATAAAATTTTGATAAAAAAGGTTGAAGGCCCCCGTTAAATTTTTTCTTAGGCCCCCTCCCATTCTTTTTTTTCTTTTTCTAATTTCTTGTTTCTCTAAATATTAGGTTTTAAAATGTCCTTTTTTAGTCTTATTTTCTATCTATTTTTTATTTTCTCTTTCAATTCTCTAAAAAAAACACAAATCTAATATTTTTTGTTTATTCATCAATTTCTATATTTTGATCATATTTATAAATTTATTTATATATATATATATTCATATATTTGATTTATAGAAAAACCAATTGACAAATATTTCAAAAAGAAACTTTTTTTCTAAGACAAAAAAACTTTGCATCAATATAGTAAAATTTCAATCAATAATATATCACATTATTAGTTTAGATCTCTCTCAATAAATTAATTACATGATTTATTTTAGCATCTTGATGTTAAAAAATATATTAAAGACAGATTTTTAATGATAACTTTGTGAAAATAATTTTGCGTAATCATTTTGATGATCAATTTTTGAATAATTATATAGTTTGTTTTATCGAAAAAGATATATTTCATATATATTATAAATTAAATTGGTATAGATAGATTTTAAAAAATAAAGAATAGTAAAATTTAATAATAGAATATAAACATTGTTTTATTAACTTTTTTATAGATATTTTATATATAATAATTATGGCCTCCACTCATAAATTTTTTTGGATCTGCCACTGAGTGAAACGTATGTCCCGTCCCAAATTCGAACCTTAAATTTAGAGAGAGAGCATATATTCTAAATCATTTTTCTAAATTCCGATTTCGAATTTAATATATATCTTGATACCCTGCTCTGAAGAAAGTGATTAAGAAAAAAATGATCTCTATATTGGGGCGGTTTTGTCCGATTAGCCGAATTTACATTTATATTTTTTATAAACATTCTAATCCATTTGATTTTTTAATAATTTTGTTAATTTACTAATTATAATTATATATATAATTTACCAATCACTCGTTATTTTTTTAATAAAAAGCAAATTCAATATTTTTCTCTAAATGTCAACGGAAAAAAATATCTTTGAGACAGTCTAAATATTTACTATTGCCACACCTGGCTTGCCAAAGCCAACCAATCACAACTTCAGCCCGTTTCTGTACATAGCAAATGTTTTACTTTCTCCACGCGCAGCGATCGTGCCAAAAGAAAACACAAAGGCGACACCTTTACAGGTCGAACTTAGAAAAAAAAGCTTCGGATTCCTCATCCGTGGAGGACATCTCTCTCTCGAATTCTGTTTCCCCTCACTAATATTCAAATCTTGGATCAGTGGGTTCTTTTTCGCAGAGATCGGGATCTCGAAAGATGCGGCGAAATTGCTGCCATGTCTCGTTCGCTTCCCTTCTCAAAATCCTCAATTTCGTGCAAGCGTTCTTCGGCGTGTCGATCATAATCTACTCGGTATGGATGCTCGATCAATGGAACCGTCGTGTCCCCGTGGATCCTCCTCCTCCATCGGCTTCTTCTCCGGATTCATCCCCTTCGTTCTCGAATTATGATCTCGGCAATCTCGTGTCGGGTTTCGTTTTCGGGTCGGGTGACGGTCCCGGGTTCAATCTCCATTCGATGGACCTCCCTGCTCCATGGTATAACGTTCCTGAAAAGTTTCCATTTTTTAGGGTATTTAGGAATTTAATTCGGGGCGATTAATTTCCATTTTCTTCAGGTTTTTTTAGCTATTCGGTGGAAAGTGGAATTGTTGTGGGTTATTTTGTTTTAGGTGGCTTGCATTTAATTCTCCAATCTTATTTTGATTTCTTTGAGCTTTTTCAAGTGGGATTCTATCATATCTATTGTTAACGAAGGAGATCAAATGGAATGGACAACCCTTAAACTCTTGAAGATGAAACTTGGGAGTAGACTTTATCAGTTTTCTATGTGATCATGAGCCCTACAAGCTTTTCTTCTGAAATTATCCATTTTTTTTGTGGAGATTATGCTTCTCGAATGTATATTTACCGTGGAAACGAACTAAACTGTATTCTGACCAAGAGTTCATCTTACAACTACAAGAGACTTGAAAGTGGTTGCTAGTTTTTTTATTTGCTGTTTGGTTATGAGTCTGTCGTAGTTTATGTGAGAATCTTTTGTTTTTTGTGTTGAATGTGTATATAGTACCGGAAATGTGTTCTGAAATGTTGCTTGATTCTCCTGATATGGTTCCTCTTCTGTTATCTTTATCAATGTTCTGTCTGATTTTTTTAGCTCAATTGAGTTTTGCTGATTCTTTCTTTGACTTGCTTTGTCTAATCTTTGATTGTTTAGGTTCATCTATTCTTTTATGGGGGTTGGCATTTTGGTCTGCATCGTCACTGTCATCGGTTTCATCGCAGCTGAAGCTATCAATGGCTGTTGCTTGTGCTTTGTATCCTTTTACAAAGCACACTTTTCTCTTGTCTCTGTTAATTTTGAGTTGACCGTGTCAAAATGATTGGGATTGTTTTGGATGTTTTTCCTTGACGGTTTTTTTAAGTACTCTATCCTAAAAACTGTGCTCATTCTACTTGAAGCGGCCCTTGTTGGGTTCATAGCCATTGATCGTCACTGGGAAAAGGTGAGGCCTTTCTTATGTCTGAAGCGGTTTTCACGTGTGTTTCAAGTTAATGACAGAGTCTAGACTCGCGTTTTGTAGGATCTTCCTAATGATCCAACTGGAGAACTCGACAGTCTTCGAGCTTTCATCGAGGAAAACATCGATGTATGCAAATGGGTCGGGATTGCTGTGGTGGCGGTCCAGGTAAGTCGGTCTTTCTTTCTAACATCGTGTGCTTCATGTTACTCGCTTTGGATTCCAAGACCATCAAAATCCTCAAGAGATTGGCTTTGTGGGATGACAGTCTTATTGGATGACTTCCATTGGCATTGATGTATTGAGTTTTGTTTCAGTTACTGTCATTGCTACTAGCGATGGTCCTTAGAGCAATGGTTTCAACCCGAACTTCTGAGCTCGATGAAGAGGAAGAAGACTACGAGAACCCAGGGAGAAGAGCGTGGGACCCTCTTCTCGGCTCACAGGCAAACCAGGCGTCTGCTGGGACGAGCAAGATCGACAACTGGAGCTCCCGGATGAGAGAAAAGGTAAAAAAAAAAAACAATATTTATTTACCGAATACTGTATCCATCAATGGCTGCATATCTTGTTCAACTATAAGATTCTCAAAAGGGGGAAATAGTTTCTTCCTCTTGGGTTTTTCGAAAGGGTTTGGTGTCTTAATAACGTGGAATCTCTATGAACTTTTTGCATGACAGTATGGACTGAACAACGGCCTGAGCCAGAGTCCATCCATGAATGCCAAAGCCAAGTAGACAACAGAAAAATGGTCAGAGCTTCCGCGTCCATCTATATATATACGTATCTGCGTTTTGGTCCATCAATATGGTGACTTTGGTCTCTTGTGTCTTACTCTTTGTAAGTTTGGGGTGTGCATAAGAAGTTTACACAGATGTATGTTTATCTCCTAATCCCTCTCTCTCTCTTTGTGTTCTGTTCTGAAACTCTGTTTAAGACAGCAGCCTTTGCCTCGTCTCTGTCTTCTTTCTTCAGTTTCATGATCTTTGCCCTAAACCCAAAAGAAAATTAAAGAAAGAAAAGGAAAAAAGATCATAATTTTATTGCCACTCTTCAGTAGTTAACATGAACCCTTTCTGCAACGTTTACATTGACGTCATATATATATATATATATATATATATATATATATATATGTTAAAAAGATATAATGTGAAAATGTATTTTGTTGCCTCTCTCTCACCAAGTAAGATCGAGGAAGGTCTCCTCTACGAGTTCTTGCAGCAACTTCCCTTCGATCTCTATCCCCAACTCATCCATTTCGATTCTCAGACCATCGAGCCATGTCCTCCCGACAACCTCGTCCCTCACCACCCTCTCTGCTGCTAGGCTGTTCGTCGTGTGCACTGTCTCGCCCATGTCAAGGCTCGTATCGGTTGAGCCCGAGCCAGAAAGCCAATCTTTCAACTGGCTCCATGCATGGTCCACCAGGTCCACCGGTAGGCTGAGGCTGTTCCGTGAAAGAGTTGTGGTCGTTTCTGCTACGATGGCATTGACACAATCGAAGATGAGCTTTTGATTCGATCCCTGTTGCCTTCGTTTAGACTCATAGGTCAGGTCCTTGTGGTTATCCGGGTCGGGGTATTTGTCTCTCAGTGAAGGATCCAAGGGACTATCCGGCGAGTGCCACCGATTGCAGCCGAGACTTACGGATGTTAATAGTGTTTCTATGAAGAAATACCAGTCTTCATATTCCTGGATCACTGTCACGGGTCTAGTTATGTCTGGAGACAAGTCATCGTCATCATCCCATGAAAGGGTCCGAGCAATGGATCCAATCAGAGGTGATTTGTCGATCAGATTAGATTTCAGACACATCTCCTGTCCTGTAAGACACAGCTCCAAGGTTTAAGAGAAAGCCAACTAATATAACTATGGTTAAATAACCGAAAAGCTGAAAAACATAGGACAACTAACTACCTCGGGTCTTCGGCATGGACAGTGCAGAACATTCTGAAAGTCCGTTGATTTCCTCTTCAAACGGTGGCTGTAGAACCGAGATTGGACTTGGCTGGTCCTGAGTTTCACTTGCATTCCCCGCCATTGACAGCTTTGTTGTTCTTGGTTCTCCCTGCATACAAAATTATAGCTTCGGCTTAAACAAGAATAACATATGCTATTCCGACAAGAATACTTCGTTTGAAATGATGAGATACCTCGTTAGGAAATAGGCTTTGTTGTCGTAATGAATCAGGAGTCAAACTATCTGTAAAGGACAAGCAGTTGTGACTGGTTTTACCGGGAAGAGTAGCGACAGAAGGCATCTCAAGTGCAGCCAATTGAGGCTCATTGCTGGTCTGAGACACGCCGGTTTTTTTATTGATAGCTTTCTTGTTCCTGAAGAAGAAAAAGTTCGAGACTTTCCATGATGATTTCAAGCTTCTCGACTCCACCAAACCAGAAGCTTCAGTGTTTGTCCTAACACCAGGTGTCGACTTTGACCTTTCTAAGGTTTTTGGAGAATCTCTGGTGTTTTCCTCTTGATTCAAACCGCTGTTTATGCACGATGTTGATGCTCTTGCCTCTGGCATTACCTCGTTATTCTCTCCGTTTGATCCAGTTGGAGCTTTGGTATCTGAAAGTGAAAGCATTTCACCTAAAGTGCTCGAGGTTCTCGGGATGTATTTCTGCTGCTGAGTAGTCCCGTTTAGTGCCATCATCGTCCATCTTTCAGAAAGCCGTTTCTTCGCCTCTCTGCAGACCGATGACTCTGGAGAATCCGAGGCTCGACTGAAAGAGGAGGAAGAGAAAGGAGGACTGCCGACCCTATTCGGGCAATCCCATGAATGCCTAGAGACTGGTGACATGATCTCGGAATCACTAAGGTTTCCCACTAGGTATTCACTATCGGACTTGTTAAACGAACTGTCGTCACCAATATAGCCATTATTGGACAAGACCGAAGAAAACAGAGTCTCGTTCCGACAATGACCCATCAAATTTTCACGCATTCGACATGTTATTTCCTTTGCGGCTTCTCTTGACTCGGCATCCCCAGGTTCATCAAAAGGGCCCACGCCGTGAAAATCTCCGGGTGATGATGGAGATGATGAAGCCATAGCTTTGATATCTAAACCTTTCCCTGGACTAGGCTTCAAGACAACTATCCGGGTTGGCTGAGATGGCTGTTCTCTGGCCTGTCGGTTTACAAAAGATGATGGGTAACCTGGATAACGATTGTCCCATCCAGTTCTATGAACCGAGGAAGTTGATTTCTTGATCTGTTTGTTCCTCCTGTCTTGTACTACAAATTTCGCGGTATCAACTGCCTTGGAAGGTCTTAATACCGTGATGCGTTTCGTCTCAAGATGTGGAGGAACAGGCTGATAATCGGAGAGATGCTGAGACAAGAATGAATTCGATTCCTGGAGAAATTTGACGAATAAATCCTTGTTGGAACTTAAAACTTCCAGTGCATCTTGGAACTCCTTGGACTGATGAAGCTTCTCATCCGTTACCAAGCGTTTCGCTTCCATGAACTTTTCCCGGACAAGAGCTATCTGTTTTTCTCTCATGGCTTCATCGTTCTTCCCTTTTCTAGACGAGCTATCCCTTGAACGATTCACCTTCTGAGGCGGCTGCCACATTTCGTATGCATCTTCGTAGCTCTGTTGTGAAGCGGTATTATCAAGCTGGAGCTGTGGAAGAGTATCCAGACCCATTAACTTGGCCACAACATTGGTGGGGTTTTGTTTGCGTTCAACTTCTTTCGACATTTCTCGAGCAATGAGTTTCTTCATCGGTGTACCGTTTACTTCGTCTGAAGCACTTCTCCTCAGATTGGACAGAACCTAAACACAAGATGGAAAAAACACAAGACATGAGAGATTCAGTGACCAGAATATTAAACTTCAAGTGCATAAATAAGGACAGCATCTCTGAAATTAAATACTCTCTGGAGCTTTTCCTTGAATATTTCTAATTAATTATCAAACTTACCAGTTCAGCTTCTGTATGGTCTCCAAATGATGGACTCAGCATTTGGACCACGTCAGATCGACTCCTCGACAGAGAAGATGCTGCCAACAAACGACCTCGTGTCAATAACACACTGGTGAATATAAAATCAAGATAATCATAGACAGAGGATAATATTGACATAAAACTTGATGCACATCTTATGGATTGTCAGAATTTACATAAAAAAAGGAATATATATATATATATATATGAGATAACAATATGAACTCCAGGCCAGTAGAAATGACAAAGTTGAAAGATAAGAAGAGTCTTCCCTAAATGTTAACCTCGAGGACCCTATTCATAACTACTACCCGTAGGGTGAGAGGAATTCAGTCGACGGTAATGCCCCGTTGTTCATAGGAACACAATCGAGCTAACCAAAAGTCGACATTTTTGCAAAAAAAAAAAAAGGTTCTTTGGTGAAAAAGAGCTCTCTCCGTTTGGAAGAGGTAGAGGAGATTACCGTCATTGTGAGGTTTATCAGTAAGAAACTTGTTTCCCCTAGCAGTTGCGTCCAGAACAAAGAGGTTCACCATACTGCCTAAGCATCCAGGAACAGGACTTTCCATGTTTTGAACCTTTCTGCCGATTGAGCCCATTCATTTGGATCCCTGCAGTTGCCCGTTTTCACCAAGTTCTAATAAAAGTTTTATAATCTTGGGTATTAAAAATGGCACGAAAACGAAAGGATGTTGATCCATGCAAGAGAGAGAAGAGAAACGGAAATCACAGCAATGTGAGAAACAACAACTTCCTAGAGGTACAAGATTGACTCGAAGCTCTAACGCCAACTCATGATACAAAACCTGACAAGCAGCGGTTCCAAAAGAAGAAACTTTCGGGCTTTGAAGCTTCACACTCAAGACAATTTGGATCAGTCCCCTCTCGTGTTTCAACAGAGAGAGCAAGCAAGGCTTTTGAAATGGTAGTTTCAAACCGAAAGATGCATAGGGCGAGACAAGAGAAAAAGAGAGAGAGAGAGGAAGATGACTGGAAGAACCAGACAACGTGTAGTAGCAAAGAAGGATAGGCCAAGCAACACAAAACAAGGTTTGGTCAGGGAAAAGTAAGAATAAGATGCTGTAATTACAGCGACGGTTCATACTGTATTAACAAACGGGAAATCATAATTTGGCATGAGATATCACAATCAAAGACACCAACTTTTTAAGCTCTGATCAAACTCACTCCTGGCAAAAGCTACGAATCTGCCTTTTCTCACCCCTTCGGAGCAGAAGAAGAAAAAAAAAACAAAAACTCCCCAAATTTGAAGGCTAAGAAAAATCCTAAGCCCTCATGGATCCACTCACCAGATTCCGTGATGCAACTCTTCTATATGCAAACGAACCCGTACGCATGTGTGTGTGTATATGCGTGTGGGTATAATCGAAATCAACTGGAAACAAGCGAAGCATTAGAACGGTGATAAAAATGCCGTAGATTCATGGTAAATTCACTGAACTGAAAAAACGGAGCAGCAAATCAGATCGACCGAATGGGCTAAACCCAATCAGAAATTGGAGGAGAAGAACAGAAAAAAGCTGAAAACATCCACTGCAGGACAAGCAGAACAAAAGTTGCGAAAAAGAAAAAGAAGCAAAAAAGCAAATCTACAGAGAGAGAGAGAGAGGAAATCAGAATCTATTTAAACCAAAAGAATCGCCACAGGAAAAGGAGTATCGGAAAGTGAGATCAGAGCGAGAGACAGAGAAAACAGCAACTTTTTGCTTTACTCGTACACACAGAGAGAGAGAGAGAGAGAGAGAGAGGACCTGTTATTCCTAGCTCTATAGAAACATAGCGAGCTCCGGCGCCGGAGATATCGCCGGGAAGGAGAAGCTCCGACGAGGAATCCGCCAATGGAATCTCTGTCGCACCGACTAGGGACGAGTTGGCGACGGACGCGAAAGCGGTACGAATAAATTATAGTTGAATTGAGAATCTCGCGTACAGACAAACATATGCAGAGAGAGAGAGAGAGAGAGAGAGAGAGAGAGAGAAGGAAATGGGGCAGTTACGCGCTACTCTGGACTCTTGTTACTCCCTCACAATCCCCGCCCTTCATTAATTGCCTACTTATTTATTTAACTTTTTATAACATTTTTTGTTTTCATAATATTATTATTATTAAAAAAATAAAACAACGCATTGCATTAGCCTTCCTCATGGGTAATCACTCACATTCATGAGCTATATGTAAAAAGGTTAGAACAAAAAAGATATCATAATTACAGTTTATGATGGCATGTTTAGTATATGTACTCAAAATTAAATTGAAGACTAAATCATATTTACATTCAATAAGGCGATATAACTTAATGTTGTATATATAGAGATAGAGAGCATAAATTTCCTTATTTTTGTATTGATTTTTACTCGTGTTCTATGTTATATATATATATTTTATAATCCGAAAGTTTACCAGATTTTTTGTCCGACTATATTTTCTAGAAAACGGATAAATCCATATGAATGTTTCTCCACAGGTGAAGACTCGAACTCGTATTGGAAAGGAGTATTGTTTTCTTCTTTACCGGTTGAGCCACTCAATATTGGGTCTATATTATATATTTGAATAATTTTTTTTAATTACATACTCTGTTTTTTTTTTGTAATCGGGTGTTTTGTACCGAAATCTACACTAGTTTCGGGATCGAAAGCAAGACATGTGATTAAAATATACATGTTTGTTTTTTGTGGTTAGAATGTTGAAATCTCCCACCCAACGCATCCATCCATCATCAACTTGATAATTTTCTTAACCATAATCCCATTTAATGATAGTATTCTTTTCACATGAAAGAAATAAAATTTACAAAACCCGAAATGTAATTTGTTTTCACGGCATGACAGTAATAATACTGATTTCTTTATTCCCAATTATATGTATGTATATAATGTATATATGCACACATACACCCACCAATGCTATATTATATATGTGACAATATGATTTTGGTAAGTTCAAAGTGATTCGACAAATCTGATTTGGTTTCATTTCGCAGTGAAAGTTTTACTAAAAATGTGCTATGACCCAACAAATCCAATCTTCACCATATCAATTTGCTTATGTTTACATTTTATATTTTTTTTATAACAATGATGGTTTTTTGGGTCTTCGCCCCGACTACATTTTATATTGTTATTTCTAATATTAATTTTATTTTCTTTTATTCTCTAAATTGTTTCATCAATAAGTAATTTACTTTATTCAATTCCTTTATATAGATAATATTTCAAAAATCTATTTATTAAACGTTCAAACTATCGTTTGATATGTAATTAATTTGAGTTCATTTTTATAATGATCGAGAATGGATGATTCGAATTAAATCATATGTATGTCAATCCTGATCAAACCGAACGAAAATTTTTATTATAAAAAACTCAATTCAGATACTTTTTTAAAATTCATAAAAAAAAATCAAATACTATATTATATAATAAAAAATATGGATCACCCAACATAATATCATTACGCTTGTAAAAAAAAACAATGCATAATGTATCACATTAAGGTATGATGACGACAACTTTCACTAGTTTTCCTCCACCGTTTCCTCGTCCTCCTCCTAATCATGTTGTGTTTATTTACACATTTCAACTACTAGATTTGCGTGTGTGATGTAAATAAGTTGAAAACTCATTTCTTCAACCATATATATATATATTGAATGGTCATGTATGTCACCAACTATAGTTTTTCAAAATCAAATTTTTTTTTTTTATTTTTTGAATTTTGATACTTACAAAATAAATAGAAAATATGGAATAATTATTCTTTATATTATGGGGATTATGAATTCCGTTATTATAAAAAAAAACCTTTGAAAAGATTAATGAAATCAAGATGTATTTCCCCAAAGATTGCATAATGATTATTCTATAATTAAGATTACACGTTTTTAATAATAATAATAATAATAATAAATTTAGAATCAGGCCCACTGAAACTGAATCACACGCCAACCAAAACAGCCCACATGGACATGTTCATCCTTTCCAATGCAAAAAATGACGTCAGCAAATAGAAGATGAGATGACGTGGCAGGTGGGGGCCACGGCCAGCGTTTGTGCATGGGCCACGAGTCACATCCAAGCTGGGTAACAAGCCAGTTGTGCGAGTACTTCTTTCTATACTTCTAATAATATTTCCATGTATTTTTTTAATTATTAGCATTATTGTTTTCTTAATCTACGGTGATAAATCGCATTTATTATAAGTTGCAATTTATTTATTAAATAAAATAATCAGATGTGGTGTTAACTGCATATATTGGAATATATCTTTTACATATAAACTAAAAATGTCTTCCAAGAAAATATAATAAAATATTCAAGTGTAAATCATGCCAGTTTAAATATATCTTAAATATGGGTGGGCGTTTCGTTTCGGTCTCGAAGAATTTAACCTAACTAAACCGAAAAGCATGGTATTTTTTTTAGCTGAACCGTTCTGAATTTTTGAACGGCATTATTTTTAGAAAATCGAATATCTCACAACCGAACCGAGTCGAATCAAATTTTTAAAAATTCCCAGAAACCGAAATTTTTAAAAGAATTCTATTTTTTTAATAAAATCTAGAACCGAACCAAACCGAAATTGAAATCGAACCGAACCGAACATAATATAAAAACCGAAAAAACTGAATCGATACATTCCTGTCTCGAACCCGAACCAATTCTCAAATCGTCCACCTAATTTTAAGCATTACATGAAACATAGATAACTCAGCACATTTAATAAACCAAGACTGTAATCATCCTCAAAAGCCCAGTTTGAATGGTTTTCTTCTAAAATGAACATATAAAACATTAATTATACTTGTAATTGAAAAACCCTAAATACTAAGGGGAGGAAGAAAAATCGCATGGCCTTTGGATGTCCACTTCTTGATTACAAACTATACCAGTAGGACAATATTGTTATATATATATATATATATGTACATATGTATTGGTTCGAATATCTGTACAGACCGATGACATAGTATAGTGTTTACGTATAGACAGATATACACATTAAGAGACGAGTTACATTGGTAGTTATATGGTTTTCCGGAAACCAGAATTCATACATGAAACAAAAAAAAATGAAGGGAATTCAAGATTAAGATTAAGAAAGCTTGAGGCTTCTGATTGGGGAATTTGTCTCTATATAATTATGCACCTGAATAGGAAAAACAAAAGGATATCTCAATGAAACAAATTCCATATATATATATATATATATATATGTATGGAATTTTACTAATTAATAGAGGATGCAAGTGGGGTGACAGTGAAATAAAAGTAGTTTGCCATTGAATGTACGTACGTGGTCTCACAATCATTCATCAATGAACCAACCGTATATATGTATCTTCACTTATTACAATATTCTCTCTCTGTTTCTGCATCAGTTGCATGATATTCTCGGAGAATGAGTGTCCCAACTACTCTGGCAGCTGAGGGCTTCGAAGAGACAAAACTATAACTAATGTCAGTGAACAGTGATCATATATCAGAATCTCAGTTCAAACCACATATACACATGCAATGGCACTCTTATGATCCCCCCATATATATATATATATATATATACACACACGTATATTGATTGAGATCTTTTTCTGTGTGTGTTAATAAACATAAGAAAGATTATATGGATGAGATATACAAAAGTAAAGATCATCATTCTCGTGTCCTCTACAAGCATGTCTGAATAGATAGTCGATTTTGAATATATATATATGTACCCGATGAACAAATGCTCAAATTCTTCCGAGTATAAATTTCGTTGGTTTATGAATCAAAACATATATATTATATTTGCTTTCCGGCCAAAAAACACATTCATTCATTCAACTTACAGGCTCACAACAACACATTCTACTCGATTTTTCTAACTTTGAAACCGAAATAGGATTATAGAAAAACAATCAGCAATAACTTCTTACAGCCACGGACATTGCTCTTATAGAGCAAGCTGCAAGGAAACGCCATTAAACCTTGGAGCAACGTAGAACAAATCATTTTTTTTAAAAAAAGTAAAACCTCGAGTCACACGGCCAACAATATCGGAAGTCGGGGAATCCCCCAAGCTCTGTTGGTTTGAGAGTCCCCTTCCTATAAACGAGGTCGTGGGTTCAACACCCAGAGTATAGATTCTCCTCCTGTCACCTTCGGGTGTTTCACATCCCCACGTATGTGTTGCAGGGTCGTGCACGTGGGTCGGGATTAGTCTGGACCTTTGGGCTTGGAATCACCGAATTATTAAAAAAAAAACAATATCGGAAGTCTCTGGACGCGATAGAGGGTCTGTGGAAAAAGAAGAACGACTGCGTTGGACAAAAGGGTAATTCAGTCTTTTTCGAAATAAGGTCGTTACATTAGTTTTCAAAGGATGTACAAATTTTGGATAGGATGGGCTTTGCAAGATGATGGGGAATGTATTCAGCCATCATGCGAAATGTGTTGGTCTAAACTAAATAAGTTTTTTTTTGGGTAAATCTAAACTGAATAGTTTCAAATCGCTTCAGAAACATTCTTAGATATATATTCCTAATGTGTAAAAAAAAAATACTTAACATGAAAACGACATACGGATAGATAATTTTTTTTTATTTGTACATAGAGACTGCTATATTTTTCGGAATTTTTATTGGATTATTATACTAGTAATTATAAGCGAATATTGGATATTCTGTTGTTTCCATTTTCCATGGGTGGGAAGACACGAAGATACAGAACAAACAGACGGAAAATATCGGAAAAATGCCACGTCAGCACATTATCCTTGAGACGGGAGATGTGGTGAACACGTGGCGGATGTCGAGTGGACAAAAACGATTCGTTTAACCCAAAAACTCTCCGGTTCTCTTCTTAGCCTTTGGATCACAAACACGCGACAAATTCACAATCTCGTCTCCGAACAAAAATAAAAATAATACAGATTCTCCGAAACTCGAAGTAGCATCAGAAGATGGCGATTACGTCAGCAGCTTCCGGCTTTCTTCTGACGGCCAACGTCGCCGTCTCTTCATCCGTCGGTGGTTCGTCGAGGAGCGCCGCCGCAGTGTCTTTCTTGCCGATGCGGAGCTCTCTCGGATCGAGGCTCGTAGTCAGGGCGGCGGAGGAGGCAAATCCGGCCCCGGCCGCTGCGGAGGAAGGTGCTACGGCCACAACCGCGGCTCCGGCGGCGGACGCTGCCCCCCAACCCAAGCCACCTCCGATCCGCCCCAAGAGAGGCGCCAAGGTCCGCCA